GACTAATGGTTTTGAGCACTTTTCACGTGCTTATAGATCATTTGTATGTCTTCTTTGGAGAAATATTTGCCCATTTTTATTTTATTTTTATTATTTTTAAAAGATTTTATTTATTCATTCATGAGAGACACAGAGAGAGGCAGAGACGTAGACAGAGGGAGAAGCAGGCTCCTTGCGGGGAGCCCGATGCTGGACTCGATCCCAGGACCCCGGGATCACACCCTGAGCCAAAGGTAGATAGATACTCAACTTCTTTTTTTTTTTAATTTTTATTTATTTATGATAGTCACAGAGAGAGAGAGGCAGAGACACAGGCAGAGGGAGAAGCAGGCTCCATGCACCAGAAGCCCGATGTGGGATTCGATCCCGGGTCTCCAGGATCGCGCCCTGTGCCAAAGGCAGGCGCCAAACCACTGCGCCACCCAGGGATCCCCAGATACTCAACTTCTAAACTACCCGGGTGTCCCTATTTGCCCATTTTAAAATTGGGTTCTTCGTCTTTTTATTGTTGAACTGTGAGAGCTCTTTATATATTCTAGGTTTATGTCCCTTATCAGATATACGATTTGCAAATATTTTCTCCCATTCTATGGGTTGTTGTTTCACTTTATTTATGGTTTCACTTTATTTATTTATTTCCTTTGAAGCACAAAAGTTTTTAGGGTTTTTTTAAGATTTTATTTATTTATTCATGAAAGACACACACACACACAGAGGCAGAGATACAGGCAGAGGGAGAAGCAGGCTCCATGCAGGGAGTCTGACACGGGACTTGATCCCAGGACCCCAGGATCAGGCCCTGAGCTGAAGGTAGCGCTAAACCACTGAACCACCCGGGCTGCCCCAAAAAGTTTTCAGTTTTGATGAAGTTTAATTTACCTATTTCTTTTTTTTTTGACTTGTGCTTTTAGTATCATATTAAAGTGACCATAGCCAAACCAAGGTCATGAAGATTTACTCTTATATTTTTTATTCCCAAGAGGTTTGTAGTTTTAGTTCTCACATTTAAATCTATGACCGATTTTTAAAGTGAATTTTTGTATATGGTGTGAGGCAGGGGTCAAACTTTATCCTTTTGAGTGGGGCTATCTGGTTGTCCTAGTACTGCTTAAGAGACTACTTCTACCCCATTGAGTAGTCTTGCCACCCTTGTCAAAAATCAACTTACTGTAAAATGGGCGGGTTTATTTCTGGATTCTCAACATTATTCCATTTATCTGTATGTCTACCCTTATGCCAATGCCACAGTACAGTTTTTTAGTATGTTTTAAAATCTAGAAGTATGGTTTTTCCAATTTTGCTCTTCCTTTTCAGTATTATTTGGGCTATTCCGGGTTCCTTGAGTTTCTTTGTGAAGTTTACAGTCAATTTCTGTGAAATTATCAATTTCTATGGAAAAAAAGCCAGCTGAGTTTTGATAGAGATAGAGTCTATAGATCAATTTGGGGAGTATTATCATCTTAATAATGTTAAATCTCATCCAGGAACGTGGTTATCTTTTTTTTTTTATTTACGTGGGTCTTCTTTAATTTCTTTCAATGATGTTTTTTAGTTTTCATTGTACAAATGACTTCTACTAAACCATTCCTCCATCTTTTATTCTTTTTGGTGTTATTGTTTGTTTATTTAAGTTTTTATTCATCCATTCATGAGAGACACAGAGAGGCAGAGACACAGGCAGAGGGAGAGGCAGTCTCCATGCAGAGAGCCCAATGTGGGACTCGATCCCTGGACCCCGGGATCACGACCTAAGCCAAAGACAGACGCTCAACCACTGAGCCACCCAGGCATCCCTTTTTTGGTGTTATTGTAAATGGTTTTCTTTCTTAAATTTCATTTTCAGATTATTCATTGCTAATGTACAGAAAAATAATTGAGTTTTGTATATTGATCTTGTACTCTGCAACCTTGCTGAACTCATTTATTTGTTGTGATAGCTTTTTAATGCGTCCCTTAGGATTTTCTACATACAAGATCATGTCATCTGCAAACATAGTTTTCCTGCTTCCTTTCCAATCTGGGTGCCTTTTATTTATTTTTTATGCATAATTACCCTGTCTAGAACATCTAGTACAATGCTAAAGAGAAGTGGCAAGAGCAGGCATCTCTGCCTTGTCCTTGATCTTACAGGGAAAGCATCCAGTTTTTCACCACTGAGTGTCTTTATCTGTGGTGCAATGCTTAGATGCCCTTTATCAGGCTGGGGAAGTCCTCTATTTCTAGCTTGTTGAGTGGTGTTGTTTAAACCATGAAAGAGTACTGGATTTTGTCAAATGTTTTCTTTTTTCTTTTAAGATGTTCATACAGTTTTTGTCCTCTATTAAAATGATTAAACTTTTTTTAAGAGAATTTTTTTAAGCTTTTATTTATTTATGATAGTCACACAGATAGAGAGAGACAGAGACATAGGCAGAGGGAGAAGCAGGCTCCATGCACCGGGAGCCCGATGTGGGATTCGATCCCGGGTCTCCAGGATCGTGCCCTGGGCCAAAGGCAGGCGCTAAACCGCTGCACCACCCAGGGATCCCAAACTTTTTTTTTTTTTTTTAATGGAATGCCCAGGTGGCTCAGTGGTTGAGCATCGGCCTTCGGCTCAGGTCATGATCTCGGAGTCCCGGGATCGAGTCCCGCATGGGGCTCCCTGCATGGGGCCTGCTTCTCCCTCTGTCTCTGCCTCTTTCTCTGTGTCTCTCATGAATAAATAAATAAAATCTAAAAAACAAAACAAAACACTTTTTAAAAAAATATCAAACCTACCAACTTTGCATTCCTGGATAAATTCCACGTGGTCACGGTGGGTAAATGATTTTATATATTGCTGGATTTGGTTTGCTAGTATTTTGTTGAGAATTTTTGCATTTATGTTCATAAGGGATAATGGCCTATAGTTTTCTCCTTTTGGGATATCTTTGTCTGGCTTTGGTATCAGGATAGGATAATACTGGTCTCATAGAATGTTAGAATGGCCTCACGGAGTATTCCCTACTCTTCTGTCTTTAAGAATAGTCTGTGAAGGATTGGTGTTACTTCTTCTTTAAACATTTGATAGAATTCACCAGCAATGCCATCTTGTTCCAGGCTTTTCTTTGTGGGAAGTTTTGGGATTACTAATGCAGTGTTTCTCCTTTCATAGGTTCACTCAGATTTTCTATTTCCTCTTGAGTCACTTTCTAGGAATTTACCCGTTTCATTTGATATATCTAATTTGTCAGCATAACAATTGTTCACAGCACCGCCTTACCATTTTTTCTATTTATGTAAAGTTGGTTGTGATGTCTCCTCTTTGATTCGTGATTTAATTTGAGTCTTTTCAAAAACAAAATAATTTGAGTCTTTTCTCTTTTTATCCTGGTCGGTCTAGTTAAAGATTTGTCAGCTTTGCTGATCTTTTCAAGGAACTAACTTGTGATCTTCTTAATTCTATTGATTTTCTAATCTCTATTTCATTTATTCCCACTCTAATCTATTTCCTTCCTTCTGCCAGCCCTGGGTTTGATTTACCTTTATTTTCCAGATCTTTTTTTTTTTTAATATTTTATTTATTCATGATAGATACAGAGAGAGAGACAGAGACACAGGCAGAAGGAGAAGCAGGCTCCATGCAGGGAGCCCGATGCGGGACTCGATCCCGGGACTCCACGATCGCGCCCTGAGCCAAAGGCAGGCGATAAACCACTGAGCCACCCAGGGATCCCCTATTTTCCAGATCTTAAGGTGGAAGATTCAATTACTGATTTGAGGTTCTTTCTGTCTTTTTTTTTTTTTAAAAACATAGGTGATTACAGCTATAAATATTCCTCTACTTTAGCTGAATCCCACAAATTCTGGTATGCTATGTTTCATTTTCATTCATCTCCAAGTTTTTTCTAATTGCTCTAATTTTCTAATTTCTTTTTAAAATTGTTTTTAAAGATTTCATTTATTTATTTGACAGAGAGAGAGCGAGAGAGCACACAAGCAGGGGGAGGAACAGCAGGCCGAGGGGAGCCCGACTAAAGGCTTGAATCCAGGACCTGACCAGGAATCATGACCTGAACCGAAGGCAGATGCTTAACTGACTGAGCCACCCAGGCACCCCTCTAATTTCTCTCTCTCTTTTTTAAATAATTTATTTATTTATTTATTTATTTATTTATTTATTTATTTATTTATGTATGTATTGGGGGGGGGTGAGTAGGAGCAGAGGAAGAGGGACACTCAGACTCTTAGCTGAGTGCAGAGTCCAATTCAAGGCTCAATTCCAGGACCCTGAGGTCATGACCTGAGCTGAAATCTAGAGTCAGATGCTTACCTGACTGAGCCACCCAGGTGCTCCTCTAATTTTCTAATTTCTAATTCCAAGTATTTTTTATTTTCTTACTATCTCTCCTTCCAGACAGCAGAGTTTTACATGTGTTAAATGGTTAAGAAATGCATAAATTTTACTGTAAATATGGCATCAAGTTAGGACAAATCTACGTTTTCAAAACAAGAGTTATAGCGGAATGGGCTGTACAATGTGGCCACAAGACGACCTCCTATCACAACCTAAAATTTTATCACTCGGCTTCCCACATCAAGTATATTCTCCAAAATGCACCTCCAAAGCCACCCACTCATCCCCACCCCCAATACCAGGTCCCTAATCCAAGCCACTATACTTGCCAGTCCCAGAGAATTGTAACAGTCCTGAATTCTTGCTCTGTCTTCTGTCTCCCACAATCTGTTCCCCAAGCAGTGAGCTTTTTTAAAACCACAAATCACAGATCTGATTACATCTCCCTCCTGCTTCAAAGCCTCCAATGGCTTCCCAATCTGATGAGAACCCCTTCCCATGGCCTGGCAGACCTTAAATGAAATGATCCCCTCCATTCACTGAGTCACTGCCCCTTACCCACTTGTGCTTTTCCTATTCTTTATGCTCCAGCCATATCCAGTGATCCCACTGTTTCTTTATTTTTTAAAAGATTTTATCTCTTTATTCATGACACACACACACACACACACACAGAGAGAGAGAGAGAGAGAGATAGAGAGAGGCAGAGACACAGGCAGAGGGAGAAGCAGGCTCCATGCAGGGATGTTGGATTCGATCCCGGGATCCTGGGATCACGCCCTAAGCCAAAGGCAGATGCTCAACTGCTGAGCCACCCAGGTGTCCCCCCACTGTTTCTTTAAAGTGAGTTTCCACCCCAGGGATTTTTGAATTCTTGATATTGTCTTCCCCTTTTCCTCGTGATTCCAACCTTGGCCCAAATGTCACCCTCTCAGAGAGGCCTAGGGTGACCAGCTCGTCCTGTGTGGTCCCGAAACTTCCTATATTTAGCACTGAAAGTCTCACATCCTGGGAAACCCCATAACCTCAAACCATGCAGGATGCTTGGTCACCTTGGTCACCATCCCCGGCTATTCTATGTGAAATAAGCCCCAGCCAGTCATCCCTAAGTTACTATCATATCACTCTTCCTAGGAGCACGGGAATTGTATCCCTAGCACCTGGGTCAGTGTCTGACAAATAGTAGGCACTCAATAAACATTTTTGGCTAAATTAATAATTGAAGGAAAGGAGCTGACTCCTGCAGTCCGAAGCTTAAGACTTGTCACATAAAAATCTGCAAGAAGCAACCCATTAGAAAGTGGCAAAATCACTTCAGCAGGTGACCATCAGCATTTTCATTAAAATGAATAGAAAAGATCAAGCATTGCCTAAAGTATCATGTTACGAACATTTTGTCTCGGTTAGTGTATGTTTGTGTGGACTGGGCCTTTGGGTCAAATGTATTTCTTGCTGCGATGTTGTGGTCAAAAATGTTTGAAAATCACCTTTCTGGTAGTCAAATGCATGGGCTTTGGCACCAGACTGGGGGGTTTGAAGCCCCTACAAGCTGTTTGGCACTGGGCAAACTCACTCATTCTTTCCAGACCTCAGTTTCCTGATCTGTGACATGGGGATAACGCATAGCACATTTCTTAGGATCTGAGTGTGAAATTCAACTGAGTTAGCATACGAAAAAATGCTTAGATCAGTGTCTGGCCCCTAAGAACAATTTAATCAGTGCTAACACGTATGATTACTTGTTGAGTGAATGAATGAATGGATGACTGACTGACTGAATGAATGAACGAATAGGGCTGAGGTCTAATCTTCCTTTAAATTGCCCTGGCCCTTTCTTTCCAGAACAAATCTTCTCTTTTACTGGGCCAGCCCCTTCTCCTGAATAACTATATATGTTTATTTATTCTGTTTATTGTCAGTGTCCCCACATTAGAGAAAAAGCTCCAGGAGAGTGTGGGTTGTTTGTCCTATGCATAGTTGAACCTACCATCTGGGGAGGGAAGAAGGTTGGCAAACATTTTTCTGTGAAAGGCTGGGTAGTAAATCTTCCAGGCTCTGCTGATGCCATTCCATCTTTGCGCAACGAATTAACCCTTCGCTGCTCAGGCCTGCCCGTGTAGTGAGAAACCAGACTTCCGCGATCTCTTAAAACGATGGTCCTCCTGGCTGTGTTCCAATAAAACTTTATTGACAAACACAGGCGGACATAATTTGGGGTGCAGCCCGCCAACCCTTAAAAGATATCGAAACCACTAGATTCGGTAATACAAGAGCTTCATAGTTTTTCCGCATGCCACCCGAAGAGTCTTCTTTTGATTGTTTTAAACCATTTAAAAAATACATATTTGAAAGCTCTCAGCTGGTGGTGCATGAAAACCAGGCGGCGGGCAGGGTCGGAGTTTGCTGACCCCAGACTCGGACTCTGTCTGGACGTCCCGGGAATCGAATCGGTCGTGGAGCTTACACGAAGGGCCCCCCCGGGGAGTCACCGAGCCGCGGCCTTCCCGGAGCAGCGCCACCCACCGGGGGCCGCGCGCGCTTTCCGCTCGCCGACCCTCCGAGCAGCGCGCGCCTCCCGCCAAGCCACGCCCCCTCCGCGGCGATTGGTTAAGCCTCGCCCTCGCCGGAACGCCCCCTCTGATGGGCACTGCGGGCAGCCAATGGGGTGCCGCGGGGGCTCACGCCCGGCCCTCCCCGCGCCCGTAGGAGGCGGGCGTGGGCGGGCCGTTGAGGGGCGGGGCGTGGAGCCTGGTAACCGTTGCCGGTAACAACGCCCCGCCCCGCCCCGTCGCGGCGGGCGGGCCGGCGGGCGGGCGCACGAGGCTGGCGAGCGGCGGGAGCGGGAGGAGGAGCGGCCGCCGCCGCCACCGCCGCCGCCATAGAGACTGTAGCCGTGGAGACTGTTACTTACCAACGGGGACCAACACGCAGCAGCCGCTGCTGCCGCCGCGGGAGCCGCTGCCCGAACTCCCGGCCCGAACTCCAGGTGACCGATGCGACCGCCCCGGGCCCGGCCGGGCCGCGGAGTGTGGGGGGCGGCGGGGATCGGGACCGGGGGGGGGGGAGGTGTCGGGAGGCGGACGGCGCAGCCCCCGCCGTTCACCCCAAACGCCCGGGACTGCGCGCCCGCGGGACTCGCGTCTTCACCCCGACCCCGCAGGCGCGGCCGACTTTGGGGACCAGCTCCCCCAACTTTTACCCAAACTCGGGGGGCAGGTGCGGAACTCATCGCCTCACTTTTCAGAAAACTTCCAGAGTTGGGGAGCCCCCCCCCCGAGCCCTCTCTCACTCCTACCCTCAGTATCCCCGACCTGGGCGTGGCCCGGGACCCCCCTCAAAGTTTAATCTTCAAAATCCCTGAACTGGGGCTCCCGGGAACCTCGTCTTACTCCCCTCCCCCAACCCCGTAACTTGGGGGCGCCCAGGGACCCCCTCTCTCACTTTCTCAACTTCTTGAAACCATCTCAAAGCCTTCCCTTGAACTCCCTGAACTTGGGGGGGTGTCCCGGGGACCCCTTCCTCTTTTACACCCCAAACCCCTGAAGTTGGGGGTCCCCGGCTCACTCCGACCTCGGACTCCTGAATCGGGAGGGCCTGGAGGACTCGTTTTCACCTTTGCCCCAATTTCCCGGATTTGGGGCGTCCTGGGGACCGTCTTCTCGTTTTGACTCCCCACCCCGAATAGTGGCTTTGGGGGCCTCCCCTGGACCCTTTTTCAAACTGTTTACCCAAAAGTGCACTCGCTCGTCTTGGGAAAACACCCCCCCCCATCCTCGCTTTTTTTCGCCACAAACTCACCCGAGAATCGAGCTTCACGGGGACCCGCTTCTCAAGCTCTTTACCAAAAATGCTCGTGGCTAAGGCTCTCCGGACCGACACCCCTCCGCCTCTCCCTCTGAACCCCACATTCCTGAGTCTGGGGCACCCTGCACCCACCCGCCGCTCCCCTCTTTGGACTGACCTCCAAGCGAGGAGAGTTTCTCCAAAAGCCGTTTTCCTTTCTTTCTTTCTTTCTTTTTCTAATTATTTTGTTTAAGGAGCCTAACTTGTGGCCCAGACCGCTCAGTGACGTTTTGTCCTGCGATCGTGTGGGTGCGTGTGTGTTTTGTGAGTCTAAACCCCTCCCCTGCACGCCCCCTCCCCCCTCGAAGCGCACTCGGGCGCGCACACGCGGACACACGGGCACACCCCAAATACTCTGCTCCTTCCCGGGCTCCCTCCGGCTCAGTCTCCGCTGGCTGTTGTCACTGCTGCACCAGGAAAGTTCGGTTTCCCGACCCTAGTGGCTATTTCGAGGGCCCCTGGGGCCGAGGCGGCCCCGCCGGTCCGGCGGAGGCGGGGGTGGTTCACCGTCCTAATTTTAACCTCCCGGTTGCCCTGCAGGAATGAGGGAGGGAGGCCAGGTCTGCGAGCCCCTAGACCTCCTGCCTGCCTCTGGGTGTTTCCGCTGTGCAGCCCCCAGCGCACACGCACACACGCGCGCACATGCACACGCACAACTGTTCCTTGCTCCGCGCAATTACCCGGAGCGCAGACTTCGCGGGTTTTCTCCCTCCCAGTCAGATTCCCCCAACTAAATAATCATGGCCCCAACAGCAACGACAGAACTTTTTTTTTTTTTCCTGCGCATATTGTAAACATGTTTTTTTGTTTGTCTGTCTGTTTTTTTTACCTTTTGGCTTCATGCTCTGAAACATTATTTGCGTGCTTCTGTTAGAGACCCCCACCCTCTGGTCCTCCCGGGGCGGGCTCCCTGTGCTCTCTCCCACTCCAGGGTAAAAAATGTGAACCGGCTGCAAAATAACCGTAGAGATAGGTGGCTTCTCACCTGCACGGGCCTGAGCAGGGAGAGCGGAGGAGGGTAAGCGCCTCCCCCTCCTTCCCGGCTCCCCGCCCTCCCGCCTCCCCCCCTCCTCAAAGAATCCGATTTCCTTGGTCCCAGATCGCCGCTAACTTGGCCAGCCTGGGGGTTTGGGACAGTATCAGAGAGCACCCGGTGGTTTTAAGAAGAGACTTCCTATAACACGATGGACCAGCTAACCGCGTCTGTGATCCTGTGATGTTGGGCCGGTGTAGGCAGCGAGTGAGTTCAGAAACAGTCCGCTTCTGCAGCAAAAGCAAAACTGAATTCTTTAGCCTTTAGGTACATTCCTCTTTCCTGCCAGGTAAACTGCCCAGGCGCTTCCAGAGGGGCTAAGAACTCCAGAGTTCTTAATTGCAGCAAGCGACAGAACTGAGTCCTTTGAAATTCTGTTGATATATTTGCATCCCGGGGTGAAGGATTCGCATCACCTGGTAATATTCATCTTTTTACCCATGTTGTCCCCGAAGCACTGCCAGGGATGGAGCCATTCACCAGAAATGCAGGTGCTGGGAAATTGTTTATCTGGATCTCATTCCCTGGAGCTAATTTGTAGTTTCAGATTCGAATTAAAATTCATTCGTATTAGTCAATATTTAATTAATGGAACTTTAATTAATATTATAATTGAGTCAAAATTTGGAATGTGCTGGTGGAATTTTTAAGGTCACTTGTGGTTCTTTTGCTCCAGGGCCAGAAGGAACCATATCTTAACCATAATATATTCGACTTTTTAATTAACTGCCATTCGATCGCTTAAATAATGCACCATCCTCCCCTCCCCATGCCTACTTATTAGTAAAATGTGAACTGTTGAAAGGGCCAGGAAAGTTCCCAGAGAAATCATCTTGCTGGTTGGGACCCTCGCCAAACGTGGGGGACAGGAACCTGCAGGTCCTGTCGCAGTGTCTGAAGCCCCTGGCCACAGATGCACCCAGCAAACACATCCAGCTTTCTGCCCCGGGCTGTAGGAGTACCCCCACCAAGTGGGTAGATAAGGACCAGAAACAGCCTCAATCAAGCCAGTTCAGGTCTGTGTCAGATTGACCAAAACACTTCCAGTTCTCAGGGCTTTTTGGATATGGGCATTGTTAGAAGGGATTGGGGGCTTCTGTATTTATAAAAAGGCATTTTGACTCCCTTTCTGTTACTTAAAGGATGAGCAGCTCTGTCACAGGCCATGTGCCCTAGACCTGTGCCTGGCACCGGGGGTGTACTTAACTTGTTGAATGAGTGAATGAATGGAAATTAGAGAGGAAGCCGAAAGCCTCCTAGTGCTTCTGGGAGATGGCAAGAGCAGCAAAGGAATTCTTACAGGAGGGGAAAAAAAGAGGGGACCCTTGGGAGGAAGACCCGGAATCAAGGGTGTATAGGACAAGGAGTAGGTGAAGGAGGGTGGGGAGAAGAGCCAGGGAGAGAGTCCTGATCATTCGGCCTGGGAAGTGTGCCTGCCTAAGAGGACGAGTAAGGTCTCCCTAGCAGAGCAGCCTGTGGAGCTACTCGCTGGGCACATCCAGGCGGATTCTGACGGGCCCCCGAAGCACACGGTGGCCGAACCGAGCTCCCCACGGGCCCCACGATCTGCTCCTCCAGCCCCTGTACCCTCTTAGTGAGTAGCCGCCGGCTTCTCCTGGTTGATCAGGCCAGAGCTTTGGAGTCGGCCTCTTTCTCGTGAGCCATCAGCAGATGCTCCAAGTCCACCTGGCATCTGACCGTGCCTTGCCACCTCCACAGCGGCCCTGCTCCAGGCCACCCTGCTCCAGGCCCCGGATGATTCCAGCCTGTTTGTTAACCCAGCAGGGGTGGGGGGCTGGGGGGGTGTTACCTTCTGTTGTGAATCCCTCAGCTCAGAACCCTCCCAGGGCTCCCATCTCCGGTTGGAACAAAGGCCAAAGTCTCCTCCCACCTGGGCCTCTCCAACCCAGTACTGGCTGACAGTGATCTTGTTCTCCCTCTGCCTCGAGGCTGCAGGCCTCCTGGGAGTTCCTCAAGCCTTCTGTCCCAAAGCTCTTCACCCGAGTAATGGGAGTGGGGGGGGGGGGCTGCTCTCACCCTGCCTTCAGGCCTTTTCTCAAATGTCGCCTTCCCAGGCCACACACTTAGCCTGCTTCCCTCCTTTCTCTTTCTGTAGCATTTATTTTATTATCACCAGCCGGTGCCTCATCAGAAGGTCACCTCCTTAAGAGGAGGAAACTCTGCATGTTTTATTAACTTCTCTTTCCTCCCAGCGGAGCGCGGTTCTGGCACTCAAATAGGCTCTCAATCAGTTATTTGTCAAATGAATAAATAGTTTGCCCCGCGCACCTATAGGAGGAGCCTATGCAGAAGTTGAGAGCTGCTCCTTACCTACCGAAGGTGGCGGCCCGCGTGTCTTGGAAATGCTTGGGTAGGTCGAAGTGGGGCAGAAGGAGGAGCAAAGGGAAAGAAGCGGGTTGTGGAAGTGGATGTTGCAGCCCCAGGCCCCGGGCCTGGCAGAGGAGGGCTCGCGTGCCGTGTCCCCGCTGCTTCAGGGCCAGGGGCCGCAGGTAAGGTGTAGCATCCGTGAGCTGGGTGATGATCCTGGTTTGCCTGCCACATTCGAGATATTATTGATAATTGCGTAGCACAGGGCCTGGCCCACAGTAGGTGCCCAACGAGACTGGCTGTTACTGTTCTGTCCGCACTGTTACAATCGGGGAGCAGCCTGGGACCCGTTCTCATTTGGGTTTTCTGACCCCCTGCAAGTGCTGAGGAGGCATTGGGGATTGAGGCACATGAGCCGGCCCTGTCTGTCTTGGGCTGGGAAATGCCCTTCCGTTAGGGTGGAAATTCACTGGTAGGGATCTATCATTCTGCAAGCATAAGCGCTCGGCAAAAACACAAACAACAGAAGAAGTGACTGGAAGCCCCCTGCCCCCAGCCCGAGCTGGTTGTGGCAGAGGCTGGTCCGCACCCGGTCCCCCCACACCACCCCCTCCGATGGGCTCTGTTAGGTGGCCAGCTCTGCCGGCAGAACTTTCACATGAGAACATTTAGAAACTGGATTCCCGTCTCTGTTATCGCTGGCTCTCGGGTGCCATCCTGGCTGGAGTCTGGAAAGCAGCCACTCAGAGGTGAGAACCAGCCCGCTCTTCATGCCAGGACTCGAGTTAGGGCCTCAGGAGCAGACAGCCGGGCCTGGCTCCTGGCCGTGCTTCCCTTTTCTTTCCCTGAAACGCATTCCTGCCTCATGATACACAGGTTTCGTGAGTCTGAGAACCCTGCTGTACGCCCTGGCAGCACCTCATTCTACTTTTTAATTTTCTTGAATTCTAGGACTTTCTGAGAAATCTAGCAGACTTCCCAAACCTGTAGGTTGTACCTATAGCAAGTGGGTATCAGACACTGTCAATCAGATCACAGCTGCCGGGGTCCATGTTAAAAAAAAAATGGGAAAAAAAAATCATACAGCCATTAAAAGTTATGTCATTCTTCGTGGAAGGCCTGGTACGGTGATCCTTTGTCACTTACTGTGTAATGAAGGCCAGACGAGCTACAGGCAGTAAACCTGTAAGACTAAGGTCTCCAGTTATTTTGAGCATGTGCATGTGTGTATGAACTAGACCCCTGGACCGGGGGTGCTCTTCAGGAGGTTGAGACTGAAATGAGGAGGAGGAGCAGCCCTGTGGAGTTCTGAGGGGAGAGCCTTCCAGGCATGGGGTGGGCGTCAGGTGCAAAGGTCCTGTGGCTGAAGGACACAGCCGGGCCTGGTCACAGCAGAGGAAGGCAGCCGTGTGGTTAATGCATGGTGAGCAGAAGGAGGAAGACAGAGGACCCCAGAGGCCGTGGGGGAAGAGTCTGGATGCTCTTCTAAGTTCAAGTTAGATGGCTGGTAGATTTCCCCTCTGCCTGGAGCTGTCAGATGGGTGGTGTCCACCAGTTTACTGAAAGAGCGGCTTTCTGGGCCTCTGACATCTGGTCATTCATTCATTCATTCATTCTTCTGAGTCAAGCGCTAGCCTCTGAGGCTTCAAGGACTAAAAGGAAGCATGGAGGGAGACAATCTAGAAGTGGTGGTGCTAGCCGTCTGCGTGGGGTTGGGCGGGACAGTCGTGGTGCGGTTGTGTTTTCAGGAACCTGCCAACAGCTCCCGCCAGCCGGGCCCAGGGTATTAGGGAGATTAGGTGAGAGAGAAGAGCAGGTGTCAGCAAGCAATGGCCCTCAGGTCGATTCCAGCCTGCGGCCTGTTCTTGTGAGTAAAGTT